ATCCTTTATCCATGGAATAACAATGGATAAAGCTTCTGCCTTTCGGGGTGTGTGGCATGGATATTTCTGATGTTGATTTCCGGGATTTTGTCCGGATAACTCATTCTATGATCGACAAACTCATGGGTAGGATAATTATAATATATCCAAAACCTTTATCCATGATGACAAATGGATAAAGGTTTTGCCTGTTCGGAAAATGTCCGAATTACCTGCAAAAAGCCCAGAGTTTACTAATTTATTTATTTTTATTTAGTCACGCACGATAACGAAATTTTCTTTAAGAACTTGGTTTTTATATTTTTTATTTACTTAATAAAAAATTATTTTTTAATATTAAAAACAAGTTTAAACCCTAATTTTAATCTTTTTGTTTAATTTAACCCAAATTTTTATTATTTTATCATCCAAAATATCTGTTGTAGCACATCCCACAAGATGCCAATTACCAGTCGATATTATTACATACATAAATAATGAAAATCCAAGTATTTTTCTACATAAATATCTAAGCAGAACCCAAAAAACAAGATGTTTGGATATGAGTAATAATAAAATTTCAATTCCAATTATTAACATCCTCCCTCTCCAAAACTACCAAAACTTTCATGAAAAAATGAAAAATCGTCTCATCCATTCATTATTCAATAATATTTAATTTCCTATATAGATCGAATTAAATTAACGGTCATTACGATTATCGTTATTATTACCCTTAGTATATTAAAAGAAGTTATAAATAATTTTTGTTAAACCATCCATTATATTTTTTCAGTTTAAATAATTTATATATAAAGTTTATTAATTTGAAATTATTATAAATATGACTTATTTATAACTTTCTTTTTTTTTAAAAAATCAATAAAACCCATAAAGAGGTAGCTAATAAAACCTTACACATTTAAAATTTACATTAACAAAAAAAAACATATAAATTTAAAAAGAAATGAATAATATAAAATTATTCAGTTTAAAACATCGTAAAAAAATCTCAAAGCCTGTTAATCATGTTGCATCAAGTAAAGTGGTTTCACCTACTAGCAATCGGGGTGTCGTTAAAAATAAAAGAATATCTTGGTCTTTCGACAGACGAGAAAAACAAGAAGTAATTATATATTAATTAATTACTTTGGAATTTCATTAATTTATTAGCACCGTTACATCTTTTTTTGTAATTTATATAGATTTTGATGGAACCATATAGTTATTTATTGTCCAACCCTGGTAAAGACATCCGAACGAAATTAATTGAAGCTTTTGATTTTTGGTTGAAAGTACCAAAAGATCAATTGACGATCATCAAAAAGGTTATCGAAATGTTACATAATGCTAGTCTATTGTAATTACTATTTTTTTATTTATTTTTTATTTTTTATTTTTTTTTACAATTACAATTATTTTTTTAACGAATAATAATTTCAAAAACAAAAATTTTCGCTCGGTACGATATTAAAAGAATTGACGATGTACAGGATAATTCTACATTAAGAAGAGGTGTTCCAGGTAAATTAATTATAAATCGTAAAGACAACTATGATTATTTCAAATTAACCAATGAACCTTCTTACATTCATAATAAATAAATATAGTTGCACATCAAATTTTCGGCATACCAACTACAATAAATTGTGCAAATTATGTCTATTTTTTGGCACTCGACGAATTATCTGGATTAAATAACCCAAAAATGTGTAGCATTTTTACCGGTAACTATTATACATTTTTATTGAAATTGGATTAATAATTAAGTCAATCAATCAATCAATCAATAAATCAATCAATCAATATTGTAAATTTAAACTTGCAGAGGAATTATTAAATTTACATAGAGGTCAAGGCATGGAATTGTACTGGAGGGATAATTTTATTTGTCCAAGCGAGGAAGAATTCATCGAAATGGTATCAAATAGTAAGTCATTCGCCCATCAAATACGTGCATGATTTATCGTTTGATCATGTGGCATATACATTAATCAATTTTAATGATTTTTTTAGAGACTGGTGGATTATTACGTTTAGCGGTGAAACTTATGCAAGAAGCAAGTCAAAGCAAAATGTAATTATTATTCATTCAAGTTAATTAATTAATCGATCGATTAAACTTATTACATTACATGTATGAATGAATTTATCATCTTTTTTATTTAGCGACTGTGTACCGTTAGTCAATATAATTGGCATACATTTTCAAATACGGGACGATTATATGAACATGCAATCTGAAAAAGTAAATCTCAAAAAAAAAATATTTTTGTTTATAAAACCAGTCAAGCAATATATGCTCAACTAACATTTCTCTTTTATAAATAAAAATTGAAATAGTATTCTGAAAATAAAGGTTTTTGCGAGGATTTAACGGAAGGGAAATTTTCTTTTCCGATTATTCATTCAATTCAAACAGATAATTCAAATTGTCGATTAATTAGTGAGTAGCAAATAAAATTTCTTAAAGCACATAATTAAATAATTATTAGAATTAAATTATTAATATAATTAATTATAGATATATTAAAACAACGTACGAATTCACTGGATTTAAAAATGTTTGCGATGAAAATAATCGATGAAACTGGTTCGTTCGCTTATACAAGACGTTACCTTACCAAAACTGAACAAACTGCTCGTGATGAAATAAAAAAATTGGATGGAAATCCTTATTTAGAAAAAATTATAGAGATGTTACATGTCGACGATAATTCTCAATAATATAACGTACATTTATAAATCACGTTTATTATAGAACATTCGTTTAGCTTTTATGTTATTTTTAAATAAAAGTAGAATTTTATTATTAACAGTCTCTGTGTATGTACATTGCTAATAAAATTTTTAATGCAAGTCCCCATTTTTCTTAATATTAAAAAAAGGTTATCCCTGAGTATTAATAATCAGCATTTTGAATTTTATAAAAAACAAATTATTTTAAAGATAAGAATAATATTAAAAGTTCAATCTTAAAATTATTAAAGTTAATTTTTCACCTAATTCGGACATTTTCCGAAAGGCAAATCCTTTATCCATGGAATAACAATGGATAAAGCTTCTGCCTTTCGGGGTGTGTGGCATGGATATTTCTGATGTTGATTTCCGGGATTTTGTCCGGATAACTCACTCTATGATCGACAAACTCATGGGTAGGATAATTATAATATATCCCTCTACAGGCAAAACCTTTATCCATGATGACAAATGGATAAAGGTTTTGCCTGTTCGGAAAATGTCCGAATTACCTGTAATTTTTTCACTTTTTTACAGTAAATCATTTACTAATTAGTATTACGATTAAAGTTTTACTATTAAAACAACTAAATTGTAGGTTGCAATATGTCCAGTTATTTAACGCATTTATATCAGTATTAAAAGAAAATCAAGATCACCTTTTTTTAAATTATATTTTGAAGATGAAGATGGAGGCTTTTAAGTGATAATGAGTTGGATGAGGTTTTAAATGACAGTGAGTTAGAGGAAAGTGATGAGGACGAACTCAGTGATAGTGATATGGAAGAGGAATATAATGATGAAAAAGACCAATATCAAAACTTTATTTATTTAAATTGCTATGAATTCTTTTACTAATGATTTTTCTTCAAATGTAATTATAATAAAAGGACTATAACTGATTGGGAAGGTGAAAACTGGAAAAGGCCAAGTGGCAAAGGAGGATCACAACCCTTGAAGAACATGAAATACTTGATCTTCCATTGAAATGTATGGTGAGCCAACAGAAGAGTTAATTAAAGAAGTGGAAAAAAAACTGGATGGGATCACTGAAGATTAACTAAATGTATTTATAACAAGAAAGGGTAAACAACAATATTAATGTTTTAATTATTTATTTGTATGTCATTATTAATAAAAATATTCATTGTTGGAATAATTAATCTATACCACTTTACACATAAATGTATTATCATCTCAAAGATCCTTATTCTTCAGATTTAGATTCATAAATAATAATTAATATTCAATAATTATATATTGAAAAATATTTGCTAATTATCCCAGACTGGGAGAAATATCCCAAGTACAAAGTAGGATAATTATCCCAAACTGGGATATAATTCAACATGTATATAAGGAACAAGAATTTGCTGTAGTCAAAGAATAACTTTGTAATAAATTAACTTAATAATAAGTTAATAATTAGTTTTGACTAAATACAAAATTAAATTTCAAATAATCACACATTTTTTATTGTTTACATCTACAAATTTTGTTATGGGAAGTACAGCTGGTAAGTTGAAAATATTTATAGTGTCACCAATTAATTTTGGGAGAGTGTGTTTTAATGTGGATCAGAATGAATAAGTGGATAATTTTGTTTTAGTGATTTGATAAAAATGATTTATAATATTTAAAGTTCAATCTTAAAAAAACCTTTCAAAGTTGCATTATATTTAAATATACATAGTTTCACCAATATTAAAGCTTGAGTAATAAAAAACATGTTGTTACATTCGCTGAAATCAGCAGAAAAAAGCTTCTTAAAGAAAAAAAACCATTTAAAGTTTATCTAAATTTACAGTGTGTTTCAAAAAGAATGGCATGCATAATGCAAATTCATTTTAAATAAAAAAATTTTTTTCACATGATCAAAATGATTGGATAACTTGTTTATGTGATAAACAATCCTTGTATGTATTTATCACATTGTCTCTCTTTATTTTTTTGATGTGCAAACTTTGTAAAAGATGGTTATTGCAAAATTAGAAGCACAACATAAAGCAATTTTACATTTTTGGATGAATGGTATCCATTCATCAAAAGAAATACATGAAATATCAAAAATACCCTTTCATACTATTCAAAGAAACTTAAAAGGATTAAAAGAGACAGGCACTATTGAATATAAAGGTGGCAGTGGTCATCCATCCAAGATTACACAAACTTTTGCATGTTCTATTGGGCAAGTTATTTGCCACAATAGTGCTGTTTCAACACAACAACTTGCAATAAAACTTTGAGAAACGCATATTGCATCAATTTCACATCCTATTGTATGAAGACATATTAAAAAAAAAGATTATAAGAGTTCTGTGTCCATTGGAACACCAATGTTAACAGCTCACTATATTGAAACAAGAATGGAATGGGCACAATCTCATATGAATGATGATTGGAGCCATACAATTTTTATTAATGAAATGGCCTTGATTTATTTTGTGATAAAATTCGCAGATGGCATAAAAATGGGCAAAGACCAATTCAAAAATTGCCAAAAGATCATCAAAAAGTAATGGCCTGGGGTGGCATTTTGTTAAAAGGCAAAACATTGTTATTCTGTTTTACCAATATTATGGATGGACCTTATTACATTAACATATCAGAGGCTCAGCTTTTGCCTGCTGCACAGAGATTGTACAATAGAAACTGGCATTTACAACAGGATAATGATCCAAAGCACACATTGTGTGTTGCAAAAACTTTTATTGATAAAAAAAGAATTCATGCAATGGACTGGCTATCCAACAGTCCCGACCTTAAACCCATTGAGAACATGTGGTATATCATGGAAAATAATGTTGAAAAAAGAATGCCAAGGAATGTTGACAAATTGAAGAGATTTATGGTTGAAGAATGGGAAAAAATCCTCAGGAAACAGTCAAAAATATTATTATGTCTATGAAACAGAGATGTGAATTGGTCTTAGAAAAAAAAGGGTTAGAATTTCTTATTAATTTTTTTTATTTAATAAAGTATTCAATAGGCTTTTAAAGGAGCATAATTTTATTTATTTATCTTGCATAATTGTTGCAGTATACAATTTTTTGTGCACACCATTCTTTTTGAAACACACTGTACATTGTTTATGGTAAAATCAATAAAATTGATAACTTTAAACCTTCACAAAAAACTTTTTTACTAATATAAATAAAAAAATTCTCTTATAGGCTATTAGTTGAGCATTTAGAAATACAATTGCAGGAAGATCATTTCTCCAGTTTACTTGGTTATCAAGCCTTTACATTTTAAAGTTTATCTAAATCTTTGATTATTTTACTATCCCTTAAACTGGTCATCATATGATTAAATTTTTTTATATAGAAAAATTTTTCTGATCATCATGCTTTTTAATTAACAAATGATATTTGAGATTTTATACAACCATCATTATTATTATTATGGGTTTTGTAAAACTGTAAAAAGTCTACCATGCCCGTGTCGATCATTACCTTAAAAATTGATATATTCATAATAAAATTTTTTATTGTGCGATTTGGTTAATTTTGATTGGTGGAATTTTGTAATTTACCAATAAATTTTTCGAAATTCCCTTATTCGAAAATGTGGTGTAACTTAAAAAATCTGCATAAAAACCTTGGTTGATAATCTGTACTTATTATTAATATTATTTATCAAATATAAATAAAAATCTTTCTAATAATTTTCTACATTTATTTCTTTGTAAGAGAGATTTTTGGTATAAAGACTGCATTCTTTTGCTTTATCTCTCTGCATTATTCGTTTGATAAATCTAGAGGAAGAGATTGAAGGAAAATGATTTAAAAGGTCAGTATATTGAGTTATGAATATTCATTGCTTTTTATTTTATTTGCAATTTATGCTTTCATATTTTATATAACTTCTATTTAAAAAAAATATATGATTTCCCCTGTAACAAGTAGGAATTTGTTATAATATGCTTATTTTGCTTAATATGTAATTTCCTCTGATAATTTTCATTTCCCAAGGATGTTAAAAGACATTTTAGATGAAAATTTACAATCAAAAATAAGGATAGCTCAAAGTTATACATCATTGGAATTAAGGTATAACCAGTGATGGTGATGATTCAGATTCAAATGGTGATGATATCCCTTTATCTGATGGAAAAACAAGAGGTTTATCAACTCCATTTGCCAACCCTGATTTGATCTCCCACTTACATTGAAAATATTTAAGACATTAGGATTTATCTAATGGCTATTTTGTTTAAATTTATTAGGGTTTGGTGAATTCTTTAATTTGGGAGCTAGACAATAATAATGATTTTGAAAATGGCTTCAGTATTCTAGTAGTAACTGGAATTTACTCGCTTGCAATATAAAATGGTCTAAATATCTTAGAAATGGATAAAAATCAAAATATTGGTGCAAAAGTTGTCATGGGTTAGATGGAAAGCAGAGAATATTGTCCATTATCGTGCAGCCCACTATGATTTTGATCATGTAACCTGACCCAATATTTTTCACGGTTATGACATAATCTAAGCAATATCGGTCAGTG